GTTATACCGGCTAAGCACGTCATACAGTATAGATCTCCGTCAACTTCAACATCGCCTTTACGGTTTTTGCAAATGCAGCATGGTGGTTGAGTAGACATTGTGAATATAATGCTTGTTTGGTGATAAACTAGGAAGTTTTTTTTTGCTTTTTATATTACACTTGTGTGTACAAACATCGGCTGTGCTGCTATTGTCTATACGCTATTTTTACCTAACAAAAAATGCAGCAAAGAAGCGGCACTCCTTTAAAAAAACACTTGCTTTGTAGTTTCTTTGCTCAACAAAAAATGCAGCAAAGAAGCGGCATTCCTTTAAAACAAAAGCACTTTTTCTTTGTAGTTTCTTTGCTCAACAAAATTGCTTTTCCTTTTGGCTAAGATGTTTTGTCTTTGTGTTTGCTGCATACACACTTTAGCCAACATTTGCTTTCTTTACCCAACAAACAGCCAATGTCTTTCCGCTCACCATTAGCAGCAGACACATTAATTAGCAAGCGTATTAATTGTTAATTAAAAAGTAATTTGCCAGCATGAAAACCCCCCTTTAAAAAGCAATACCCTGCGCCCTCGTTCAATAGCATAAACCCCCTCACCTACCATCATGTCGCTACGTTGGAAATGCACGCTGTGTAATGCTGTTGTTGACGAGAATAATATAAGCAAGCATAAAAGAGAAAGGCATCCCAGTGTAGTAGCAGTTCCATTTGAGTTGGCATGAATTAATAAACATATCAAAGTGGCTCTGCTTGCTGCTCGAGCGAAAGAACGCAGCTATCTGGTGAATCTCGCTTTTCGTCAGGCGCAAAGTGAGAAGCAGCTGCAGTTGGCGGAGTCATTTCGTCTTGATTACGCACTGCGTTGAGATACAATGCGACTGGGTCGTATGGCGTACCATCAAGCGTCAAGCCCAGCTGTACTCGCCGCCGCTGACACATCTCGGGCGTATCCGCATCCCGATGACGCCCCACTTCCACTGGAAACTCAATCCGTAAAAGCCGACCCTTCTTTGTCACCTGCCAGTACCAAAACCATGCCACCGTGTACCAAGCACCAGGAGCGATGTACCAGGCCAACAGCACGTCTATCGTGTAGTGAGCACGGTTGGCAATAACTATAAGCGAGCCAGCAACGCATAGACTCCAGGCACACGTCGTGAGTATTCGACCCACCAGGTTCTTGGGCGCAAACGACGTCCACACCATGGCACACACAACAAATATCAGCGTGTGCCCGGAGTATATTGCGTCGCCGCAGCGATGTAGCGAGAAGGCGGTAAACACGTTGCCCTCAACGTACTGGCACGATGGCCGCGGATCTGGCACCGACGTAATGGCCACGGTGGTAATTCTGATCAGCGATGCCAGCCCCCACGCGAGCAGCAGCCGGCTGACTACACGCCAGGGCCGCTCGTGTGATATTACCAGCAGTGCGGTAGGCACAAACATCAGTGCGTCAAACATGTCGGTAAGCCACAGCAGCTCAATAAACCCAATAAAGCCGAAAAACACATCCGGCAGCGTGTACCGCGAGCCAAGATCATCTTCAATCAGCTTGCTCCGCTGCGACGCGACGTTGGCCATCACGTTCATAAAGTAGTACGAGAGTCCAAATACCAGCCCCGTCACGACAATAAAGCAGATGCACTTGCGGTCTAGCCACCAGTTGCGCCGTATACGACGCCAGACCAGTGCAACTACGCGCTGGCCCAACCCCCACGCCCGTATAGAAAGTAGCTTGGGCATAAGTCAAAAGTATCTAGCGAAAATAAAAAAAGTATTTTCTTTGGACGCCACTAGGCCTGCTTGCTGAACAAACAATGTGTTTCATCTATTCAATCTGGACACAGCTTCAAAGTCAGGCCGACGGCAGAGCCAGTAAGACTCAGCCATGCGCTCATATAGTTTGTAGCATCAATAGGCACGCCGACTGCGCGCAGTAACGTCGCAGTATGGCACGGATGAAGGTACAGGAATGGCTCATTGAGTACCGGATGGTCCTGTATGCCCAGGGCGCCGCCAAACTCTACGGCCTCGATCGCCCCACGCACCTGCTGATCTGCCACCAGCAGCTTGGTGGCTTGCTTAATGTCCAGAACCACCTGGGACTGATCTGACAAAACCACCCGCATGTACAGAACCGGAACCCGCCATGATGCAGAGTACACGACGTGGTATTCAACCTGGCCATGCGCAGCTTTGGCCACTCCAGGAACGTCGTCTGCCAGTGCCTCTATCGGATCGGGATCCTCTACACCCTCGATCTCGTCTATCTCCTCATCACCACTACTAGGGTCGCTGGGTAAGAGAAGCGTCTTGTAAATTCGCAGAAATTGCTGCTGTCTGCATGTGTCACGACGTATCTCAACAAGGCTCCCAAACTGCTCCTCAAACTGGTCGATGCAGCGAAGAAATTCGGCGTGTGTCAAGAAGGGAAAATCGGCTAGCTCATCCATTCCAGAAAGAAGAAAGAAGACGGCTTGGTGAGCCGCCGGCTCACATGTAGTTTCACGTGATTTGATTTGGTTTTTTAGAAATAGTTTTTTTTATCCAAAACGCAGATTCAAGCGGCTGCCCCAGCTTGATCGTCCTTTTCTCATCGCAGCGCTGACTAAAAGGTGCGTACTATAATAATATTTTTCTGAACGCGTACATCCATTTGAACGGGCAAAGATGCAGCAGAATACCCAGCGGCAGCAGCAATAAGCAGAACAAACACGGCAGAGAGACGAATCCAATGCCGCAAAGGATGGATGCGCATTTATTATAGCAGAAATGGATGCACATACAGCATGTTGAGCCACCAGAGAGAACGATGGAACTAACCAATGTCCTGTGTAGGAAATTTTAGATTACGCAAATTTAAAAAAGATGGCCACCACGCACATTCAGAAGCGCGAGGGCGAATTGCCCACCGAGACCGAGCTCTTGGTCGACCGTGCCCTGCAGGACCTCGAGGCGCACTCGCCTGAGCTGAAGAAGGACCTGCGTCCGATCCAAATCACATCGGTGAAGGAGGTCGAAGTATCGGCTGGCCGCAAGGCCATTGTGATCTTTGTGCCTGTGCCCCTGCTCAAGGAAGTGCACAAGGTGCAGCAGCGCGTTACTCGCGAGCTGGAGAAGAAGTTCTCGGACCGCCAAGTGCTGTTCATTGCTCAGCGCCGCATTCTCAGAAAGCCCGCCCGCATCAACCGCGCCAAGCAGCCCCGCCCCATGTCGCGCACGCAGGCTGTTGTGCACGATAAGATCCTGGACGATCTGGTGTACCCCACCGAGATTGTTGGCAAGCGCACCCGCGTCAAGGTCGATGGCTCCAGAACCATCAAGGTCTTTTTGGACTCCAAGGATGCTACCAGCCTCGAGTACAAGCTGGACACCTTCTCGGCTGTCTACAAGCGTATGACCGGCAAGGATGTTGTGTTCGAGTTCCCCGCCGAGCACGCATACTAACTCTCTCCTCTTTTGTTTAGCTAAAAATATTAAAGCAGCTCAATTTGTTATTTTAAATGTCCAATGGCCATGCGCAAACTGCATTGACGATATTCCGTAGCGTATGGAAGAGCAACCGCCCGCTGCAAGTAGCCAAATTCACCCAGCAACAGCTGCTGCCGCTCTCTTGGCGAGACCTGGGGCTGCTGCTGGTCCAGCTGGTTCAGCCTCTAGAACACATACACGACAATATCAACCAGATCGCATCATGCATTCGCTGTCTTGTAGCGCTGGCGGGCACAATAACCCACATGCAGACGGTGCAAACAGCCGTGTCTCCAGTCGATCCAGCATTTGTTGCCCGGACATTCTCCGCCATGGTACAGGCTACCTTGGCTATTATAAGCGAGCAGAATGCTTCTAAAGAGGCTGCTGCTGGTGCTGCAGTTTCAGCCGTGCTCAAGTGTATACTGCAGGTTCTTAAAGCACCCACACCAAAGTTTGCCACCGACTCGGTTCTCGACGGACTAGCAGCAAAGCAAAGATCTGCTAAACGGCGCCGTATCGAGAATGAGCCGCAGCACGGTCTTGTAGAACTGCTAGCTCGTATATTGCAGATGAAATCTGTCAACAGTCGGTATGTTGTCCGGATTCTGCGGGCTCAAAGCGGCATAGTTCTAAAGCAGGAACTCGGCGGTTCAGAGCCTGTCACGAATCTTGCCAATGCACTGGCTACCGAGGGCTATTCGCTGTGTAATTCCGACATTGAAACAGCTGGCGAGGCATATGTGGGCGACGTGTTTGCCAGCATTCGCGACCTGGCAAGCATGCTTCCAGCCGCACCCGCCAATGCTGATTCAGCCGTGCCTCAACACGTAGAAACAGTAGCTCAGCTCTCGCTTGTGCTATCTCGGCAGTTTCGCCCTTTTGTCGTAGAATCGGATTGCCGCCCTCTGTACGCATTTTGTGCTGAAAAGCGACACCGCTGTTACCAGTGGGCCGCCTTGTGTCGAATCAGCACCTGGATCTCTGGCTGGAAGCAGCATAAAGTGGCCATGGAGGCGCTGGCGGAATGCAGCCGGCTATGCTGGATACAAGTCACTGACACGGCTGCTGCGGATTTGCAAATATGGAGCTTGCTTCTCTGCGAGTCCCTATCCCATCTTGCTCTGGACAACACGCCGCTGTTTATGGCATCTCTAGAAACGCAAGTGCTGGTTTTTGCCGCCATAGCGCCCCTGCTCACACGCATCTCGCAAGTGATTCCTGAGCTTGTAAGTCACAAGGTATGTCGGCCGCTTCTGCTTACCAGCCTGCGTATTTGTGAACGGTTTTTGCGGCAGATTCCAGCTCAAGCTGCATCTCTCGGTCTATTTCGTCCAGCCGCGCAATGCATGGACGTGGTTCGCGAAGAGGGTGCATTCCAGCGACTGCAATGCTCGATCAGCTCATATGTATTTCGGCCCAC